AGGCTGCGCCAGGCCGGGGCGCGCCTCGGGCCGCCCGCGCGCGGTTCGTACGGGCTGCGCCAGGCCCGTGGGCGCCCTGTTTCCTCTTCCCTTGAGCCGCCCGCTGTCCCCTGCGCTTCTGATGGCGCCCCACCCCTGCTGCTGCCCGTGCTCCTGAATTAGGGTTTGGGGGTGGAGCGTATGGGGGTGCCGTCTCTGTGAGCCATCCCCTGCTCCTCCTCCTCCTCCGTCTCCCACTGCTGCAGCTGCCGCTGAGGGGGGTGGATGTGTTGGAGCCGTCGGAGTTGTACGAGGGGGTGACGTGCAAGTGGAGTTAGGGGTGAAGCAGTGGGTGTGTGGGGGGTGTGTGGGACAGTTGGAGGAGGTTGAGTGGAGGCAGCCGTCGTGTCGTCCGCAGCGCCTGTATTCCGGGGTTCTAGTGGCCGCCGGTAGCTCAGAGAGCCTGCTGCACCTGTCGCCCGTGGGTCTGTTGCTCCTGCCGCTCTGATAGCCGCAGAGCCTGTTACTCCTGTAATCCGGGACACTTGTCGCCGGTAGCCACTGAGTCGCACTCAGCGCTCCTGTTGCCCGTGTGTCTGCAGCTTCAGTCGTCGCCTCCCGTCTTCTCTCCCCCACAGTCTCTCCTCCTCCTCACTTGCCCTCTGTGTTAGCCTCTAGCTTTGCTTATAATTGTGAACTACTGCTATGCTTGCTCATTGTGCTGATTACACCCCACTTTGGCTATGGGGGTGTATCAGAATGTTATTGTTGTCTAGCCTGCAGTGGGGTGCTCTATAGCGAGTACAACCCAGTTAGGGTTTGCTATATGTATCCCAACTGCTGCTATTGAAACTCCTCCTTTGTTCATTTCGTTTCGTACTGCTAAGATTCTGACAGAGCGCCCGCTACACTTCCTGCACATGTGCGGATCCTTGCGCGTTTTGAGGCTGAAAGCGCTCGTTCTGAGCGTTTTTCTTCCACCGGGTCATGTGGCTGCGATGGGACTATTGCCAAGCCAGCAAGGGCGTGGGAGGGTTGCGAGCATCATTGGTCATCGGCGCTCGCGAATGAAGAGCGCCCGCTGCACTTCCTGCACATGTGCGGATCCTTGCGCGTTTTGAGGCTGGAAGCGCTCGTTCTTAGCGTTTTTCTTCCACCGGGTCACGTCGCTGCGCTTGTCTAGGCCTAATGCCAAGCCAGCAAGGGCGTGGGAGGGTTACGAGCATCATTGGTCATCGGCGCTCGCGAATGAAGAGCGCCCGCTGCACATCCTCCACATGTGCGGATCCTTGTGCGTTTTGAGGTTGGAAGCGCTCGTTTCAAGCGTTTCTTCCACCGGGTCACGTGGCTGCGCTTTTCTGGGCCTATTGCCAAGCTAGCAAGGGCGTGGGAGGGTTGCGAGCATCATTGGTCATTGGCGCTCGCGAATGAAGAGCGCCCGTTGCACTTCCTACACATGTGCGGATCCCTTCCGCGTTTTGAGGCTAGAAACGCTCGTTCCGAGCGTTTTTCTTCCACCGGGTCACCTGGCTGCGCTTGTCTGGGCCTATTGCCAAGCCAGCAAAGGCGTGGGAGGGTTGCGAGCATCATTGGTCATCGGCGCTCGCGAATGAAGAGCGCCCGCTGCACTTCCTGCACATGTGCGGATCCTTGCGCGTTTTGAGGCTAGAAGCGCTCGTTCCGAGCGTTTTTCTTTCATCGGGTCACGTGGCTGCGCTTGTCTATGCCTATTGCAAAGCCAGCAATGGCGTGGGAGGGTTGCGAGCATCATTGATCATCGGCGCTGGCGAATGAAGAGCGTCCGCTGCACTTCCTGCACATGTGCGGATCCTTGCGCGTTTTCAGGCTGGAAGCGGTCGTTCTGAGCGTTTTTCTTCCAACGGCTCACGTCGCTGCGCTTGTCTGGGCCTATTGCCAAGCCAGCAAGGGCGTCGGAGGGTTGCGAGCATCATTGGTCATCGGCGCTAGCGAATGAAGAGCGCCCGCTGCACATCCTCCACATGTGCGGATCCTTGCGCGTTTTGAGGCTGGAAGCGCTCGTTCCGAGCATTTTTCTTCCACCGGGTCACGTGGCTGTGCTTGTGTGGGCCTACTGCCAAGCCAGCAAGGGCGTGAGAGGGTTGCGAGCATTATTGGTCATCGGCGCTCGCGAATGAAGAGCGACCGCTGCACATCCTGCACATGTGCGGATCCCTGCCGCGTTTTGAGGCTAGAAGCGCTCGTTCCGAGCGTTTTTCTTCCACCGAGTCACGTCGCTGCGCTTGTGTGGGCCTATTGCCAAGCCAGCAAGGGCGTGGGACGGTTGCGAACATCATTGGTCATCGGCGCTCGCGAATGAAGAGCGCCCGCTGCACTTCCTCCACATGTGCGGATCCTTGCGTGTTTTGAGGCTGGAAGCGCTCGTTCCGAGCATTTTTCTTCCACCGTGTCATGTGGCTGCGCTTGTCTGGGCCTATTGCCAAGCCAGCAAGGGCGTGGGAGGGTTGCGAGCATCATTGGTCATCGCCGCTCGCGAATGAAGAGCGCCCTCTGCACATGTGCGGATCCTTGCGCGTTTTGAGGCTAGAAGCGCTCGTTCCGAGCGTTTTTCTTCCACGGGGTCACGTGGCTGCACTTGTCTGGGCCTATTGTCAAGCCAGCAAAGGCGTGGGAGGGTTGCGAGCATCATTGGTCATCGGCACTCGCGAATGAAGAGCGCCCGCTGCACTTCCTCCACATGCGCAGATCCTTGCGCGTTTTGAGGCTGGAAGCGCTCGTTTCGAGCGTTTTTCTTCCGTCGGGTCGAGTGGTTGCGCTTGTCTGGGCCTATTACCAAGCCAACAAGGGCGTGGGAGGGTTGCGAGCATCATCGGTCATCGGCGCTCGCGAATGAAGAGCGCCCGCTACACGTCCTGCACATGTGCGGATCCTTCCGCGTTTTGGGGGTGGAAGCGCTTGTTCCGAGCGATTTCCTCCCGCAGGGTCACGTGGCTGCGCTTGTCTGGGCCTATTACACCCTCTTTCTCGCCGAACTGACAATGGGAAGCACTGGCTACAGTGCGTACTGTTGCTTGGACCCTAGCGATCTGGTGCTTGCAACCGAACCCCAGGTAGGTGGCAGGCAAATGCACTCCAGTAGAACGGTACACAACGGTATATAGAATAAAACTTGCCTTTTGCGTACGGTTGAGTGCGGGGAAATGTGCATATATGGGATGTTCTTGGATCATTCTGGACGCATTGATGTCAGTAGAGCCGGTCCGTCGATATGGCCAATGAGAGTGTGGCTTGAAAGAGGGTGAACCAAGCCACCAAGGGCGTGAATGAATCTCTTTAGGGGGCACACTTTATGCACCTATCGCATCTATCTCCAAACAGAGTTCGTTCTCGAATTTCGATATGGTCACCTGGTTCCCGCGTTCGCACCGAAAGCTCGCCAGAAAACCTTGGGGGCCAACATCACTGGCATGCAACATAGTATGGTAACCCTATGCAATGGTAACCGTCGATACCTCGGTTTTGGAGTTATTTACATATTGCGCTAGTATCTAGGCTCTTTTGAATGGACACACTGATTTTTACCGCGCTCATCTTTCCGCTAAATTTCGATTTATTCGGACAACTGTTCTGCCATATGAGCAACACTGTTCACTTCTTTTGACAGAAAAAAATAAAACCCAATCGGAAAGGGATGCACTCGGGGAGGCATCAACCCTAAAAACAATGCCCTTTCCCGTTTTTAGGGTTGATCCCTCCCTGAAATAAGTCCAGGTCCCTAGGGGTTTATTTTTTTCCTGCCTGCACTAGCAGTAGCCGGTAGCAGTATATTGGGTGGAATATATTGTTACGAAAAAGATTCTAACGGAGCGCGTTAAAAAACAAATGAAACGAAATCGTAAACGCATTCGGTTGTTGCACCCATTGCACCCTTTTTGTGCTGCGTCAGCTGTTACACAGTGTTTTGAGTGGCGCTACCGGACAAATTTGCGAAGCAGAACTGGGGTATCGACGGTTTTGCATACCATCGAATAGGGTTACCAGACTAATTTGCATGTCTATGATGTTGGCCCAAACCTTGGGAACAGCACCACTCAGACTTCCTCCTGCCAGGCTCCAGAAGAGCCACACTCGGAACTTGGGAACACCGCCCTTGGGAGCTCCGACTTCTGAGCCCAAAGTTCCATGCCTCCGCACCACACGCCTCCTCATCAGGCCTTCCTTTGTCTTCTAAGCACGCACTTTCGTTCAACACCCTGCCATGTCGTCAGCACCTCGTAGCACGACTTCCACATTGGGACCCTCCATGTCGTTCCCGTGACATTCACGTGCCTTGACCCTTTCCAAGCCATAAGCTCCGCTTTTTGTGTAGATTCCTCGCTCGGGAGAACGACGCGCTTTTCCATTCCTATCTGCAAGCCCACCGTGCAGACCCTGGTTAAGTATTGCAGACTAATATCCCTCTGGAGTAGTTAAGACTCTGCATTTGAACCGGAGATATTTGAGACTGTTTCTGGTACCCCGTTGGCACGATGAGCAAGAAGGGTGATGAGAAGCACGAGAAGATTATCCGCGGGCTGATGAAGCTGCCGGAAAATAAAAAGTGCATAAACTGCAACAATCCGGTAATGCATTTCACCAAGATTTAACTCCCATCGCCAGCTATGCTTCTATAAGTCATGACGAGCGGGGAACAGGGTAGATCTGTTTTTTCAGCGAAAAGCGTTTGCTTTATCAGTACGACGTTCGTGTTTTAGGTTCGTCAGAAGCTAGACGGGATGCGTTGGGCCACTTCCTTTTAAGCCCCTACGGCGAATGCGTTGTCGTCTAGGATATCATAGATTGTAGTCTACGCTTCCCCGCGTTAAGCGTTAATCCTTTGCGGGCTGTGCGATCACAAATTCGTACTTTCTTTGGATCCAATCTTTGCAACATGTCCAGTCTTTTTGCGATCAGTGTATTCTACTTCATATGGATCGTTATTGGCCGTACGATATCCGTGTGTCCGTACGATATCATTGTTTTACCTACCCCGATTACCGCAGGGCCCTCAATATGTGTGCACGAATTTCGCAACGTTCGTCTGCGTCGCGTGCAGCGGAATCCAGTGAGTCTGCCTTCCCCTTCTTCGCCAACCTTCCCGTCGCGCCGTTCATCTTCACTCCACATATCCCTCCTTTCCCGCCTTCACCCTTTCGTGACTTTAAAGTCTACTCATAAGTCACCTCGATACAGTGACACACTTCACTGAGTTCTTCGTTCCAGTCTTGTGCGAGCGCGTTGCGCTGAGCCCATTTCCATGGCCCGATATACATCACCACACTACAGTTTACAAACTGCATCTGAATTTTATTCGACAATCTACACTACCGCCCCTCTTCCCCCTCCTTCCCTTGCCCGTTTCCAGCCGCGAGTACACGCATCGCCTCAAGTCCGTGTCAATGGCCAAGTTCACCCCTGAGGAGGTGGCAGCGCTGCAGCAAGGCGGCAACCAGGTGAGGGGTTGCTGGAGGAGCTGGCAACCAATAAATTTTTAACCCATGCTGGTTGAATAACCGAATATTTGTTATCCAGATGCTACTGCGATGCGATTAACCATGTTAGTTCAAGTCCATTCTCATGGCCGACCCCAAACGAACGACGAGTTTGAACCTACTTCGTCCGTACTGTCTGCGTCACGTCGACTGCGTGCCTCCGTGTGTCACCTGCGTGCCTCCGTATATGTGCGTGTGATCAGAAAGCGCGGGAGTTTTTCCTCGCGAATGCCAGCAGGGTGGAGCCTCCAGATCCCAAGTGAGTCCGCCTGTTGCCCTTCCCATCCCCTTACTCTTCCTCCTTGCTGCTCTTTGCTGCTCTTGTCTGCTTTTTCTCTCCCGCTAGATTTTAACCCTTCCACTTCTCCCACTACTACCCGTTTCCTTTCCTCAGCGACCCAAATCGGCTGAGGGAGTTCGTGCGATCAGTCTACGTGGAGAGGCGATACGTGGCCAGCAGAGACCCGAACGCTGCTGCTGCACCACCTGCGCGCGCGCAGCCCTCTTCCCCCTCCCCTTCCGCCGACCTCCCCCCAGCCTCCGCCTCCTCCCCGCAGCCCGTCTCCTCGTCCCAGCACAACGATCACAGCCGTTTATCTTCGGACTCCAGAGCCATGCGGGCTTCTGCGGATGGGTACGGTGGTGCGAGTGGGGCGAGCAGAGGGCCGGGTAGAAGCGCGGGGTATGGGAGTGATAGGCAGCCGCAGCAGCAGCAGCAGCAGCAGCAGCCGCCGCAGGAGGAGAAGCGGAGGCACAAGGGCGGGTTGTCGTCGTTTCTGGGGTTCAAATCCCGCGGCAGCAGCAGCAGTAGCAGCAACAGTGGCGGTGGTGGCAGCAGTGGCGGTGGCGGCAGCGGGAGTGGCGGGGCGGCAGGCAGTAGGCATAGCAGCAGCGCCGGGGGCAGTAGGGAGAGACGGGAGGACTCGCTGAAAGGAGAGCATCGGAGCGACGGCCAAGGAGGACGGTCGTCGTCCCCGTCTGGTTCCAACAACAGCGATAAATCCAGCAGAAGCAGCGACAGGGAGAGAGACAGGGAGAGGGAGAGGGAGAGGGAAAGGGAGAGGCATGGGCATGGCGTGAGGAAGAGCGGGAGTAGTAGCGGCAGTGCAGGGGGGCAGTCTAGACCCAGCGGGGGCAGCGGGGGAGGGGGGGGAAGCAGAGGGGGAGGAGGAGGGGGGCAGGGCGTGCAGGCGGTGAGTGTGCCTGTGAGTCAGGTGCTGGGGCGAGATGTGGAGGAACTGAAGGTGTATGCAGAAGGGGAGGAAGGGGCGGTGGGGAATGGCGTGAATGGGGGGCATGCGGGACGGGGAGAGGAGCAGGGAGGAGCGCCTGGAAGCCCTGGCTCCATTGCTTCCTCTGTGAGTTGCCTGAGCAAGCTTCTCCCTCACCCCTCCTGGTACGATTTTTGAGACCCCTCAAAAAGCGCCCCAAAAATCGTCTATTGAGGCGCCTCAAAAAGAGGAGCAGGGAGGAGCGCCTGGAAGCCCTGGGTCCATTGCTTCCTCTGTGAGTTGCCTGAGCACGCTTCTCCCTCACCCCTGCTGTTCAGTTTTAAGGCGCCTCAAAACTAGACGCCTGGAAGCCCTGGGTCCAGGAGTCGTGCTGACATGGCCTGGCCTCCGTTGTTTTCTCTGTGAGTTGCCTGAGTGCATTCTTGAGGTGCCTATAAATTAGAGCCCTGGTTCCAGGGGTCATGCTGATGCAGCCTCCACTGCTTCCTCTGTGAGTTGTCTGAGCACGCTTCTCTGTCGCCTCTCCTGGTCATTGTCTCTTACTTTCTCTTCCTTTCTCTCTCACAGGCACACGCATGCACGCACGCTCTCGCACACACGCACTCCCTACCCCTCTCCCTGCCCTTGCCCCTACCCCTATCCCCACCACCAGGCGGCATCTCGAAAGGCAGCAGACGCCCACCCGCCAACGCCCGAGAGCAAGCTCAACCCTTCCACCAGCGCCGCCCCCCCCAGTGCCGCCGTCACCACGGCCAGCCTCATAGACTTCTCTTTTGACGATCCCACCCCTGCACCGCTCACTGCGGGCGCATCTGCTGCACCAACAGCAGCAGCAGCAGCAGCAGTAGCAGCAGCAGACCCCTTTGGGCTGGCAGATCTGCTCGCACCTGCCCCTGTTGCCGCTGATCCCACCCAAGGCATGGGCGCTGCAGGTATGGGAGGGTTGGACTCTGCAGGTATGGGCGGTGCTGCGGCCGGGCCTCCGTACGGGGCTCAATTCCCCAGGGGCGCTCAGCTGTTTGGGGGTCAGCCCTTTGGGGGCGAGCCGCTGCCAGGGCAGCAGTTCGGGGCAGCGCCGGCGCCGCCTGTGGGAGGCCAGGCGTTTGGGGGCGGTCAGCCTGGGACAGCTGGAGGACAGGCGTTTGCAGGGCAGCAGTTTGGAGGGCAGCCGTTCGGAGGGCAGGCGTTTGGAGGGCAGCAATTCGAGGGGCAGCATTTTGAAGGGCAACAGTTTGGCACGGTTCAGCCTGGTGGTGTGGAGTTTGGTGCGGTGCAGAACGCTGGTGTGGGTTTGGTTTCAGATCAGCAGGGCCAGGGTGGTGCTGCTATGGGCTGGGGCTCTGGGTTTCTGCACACTGATGCCGGTGCTGCCGCTGGTGCTGGTGCTGCTGGTGCTGTGCCTGCTGTTACTGCTGCTGCTGCTGCTGCATCCGCTCCTGCTGCTGGGGGGTTGGAGCAGGCACAGCTGCCACAGGGACAGCAAGCACAGCAGCCTGTGCAGCAAGGCGGTTTCTTTGGGGAAGAGAGTGCAGTTGATGCTGCTGCGGCAGCTGCAGCACCAGTACAAGCACCAGCAGCAGCAGCGGATGCTTCTGCATCAGAAGCAGCAGGAGAGGCGGGAGGCTTTGCCTCGTGGGCTGCGTTTGATGCTGCTCCTGCTGCTGCTCCAGCTGCAGCCCCTGACGCTACTCCTGCTGCTGCCAGTGCAGCAAACGCACCTCCTGCCGCTGCTGCACCTGGTGTTTCACCTGAAACCGCTCCTGCACAAGCAACAGCAGCAGTGGTAGGTGGTGTTGAGGAATCATCCGCTGCTGCTGCTGGAGGTGGTGGTGCTACAGCAGCGCCATCTGCAGAAATGGTATGTGTGATTCAGTTTTTCCTTTTCGTGGTTTTTTTCCTCCCTTTTCCCTCAGCAGCCCTGTTTTCTTATTTTCTTTTCATTTCTTTCTTCTTGTCGCATTCCAATTGAGTCGATTGAAAATGCCAACTCTCATGCCATTCCATTCCCTTTGCCCGTCCAGACTTGGAATGCCTTCGGCGACGAGACAGCACAGCCACCACTGCAGCAGCAGCAGCAGCCAAGGATAACAGAGAAAACCGCCTCTGCTGCTCCAGCGTCATCGGCAGCAGCAGGAGGGGGAGCAGCAGGTGCAGGAGCAGCAGCAGGTGCAGCTGCCCCTGCAGCAGCACCATCAGCGGCACAAAAGGCAGCTGCAGCACGTGCCGCAATCCCAGAGGTACGCAACGCACCCCCCCCTCACCATTCATGCCTCCTTCCTCTTTGCTTTCTCCTACACCTACCTGTGGCTCTCCCCTGCCTCCTATCTGATTTCTCCCCTCCCTATTCTGCCCCCTTCCGCTCTTACTGCCTGTTCAATCCTTGCATTTATTGACTCCCCTCCCCTCCTCTTTCCAAACTTTATTACCACCTCCCCTCAAGACCAGTCTTCTTTAATGGTTACTGCTCCCCCCTCACCTTTCCCCTTGCCCCAACCCCTCCCAACTCACCTTCCGCCTTGCAACCTCCCCTCCCCCCACCTTGCCCCTTCCCCTCCCACCCCCCGCGGTACTTCCTCACCGCTTTCTCCCCGCTCTTGAAGTCGAAAGCAACCTTCCTTACATCAGTCGTTCTCCACATGCCTTAAACACCCCCCGCCTCCCACCCACCTCCTCGTTTCCCTTGCCCCCCCGTGTCCCCTCGCCTCCCCTGCCCCCCTTGCTCCCTCCTCTCCCCGCCTCACCCCTCCCCATATCAGGACTTTTTCACCAACCTCCTCCCAGCGCCCACAGTAAAGAACGACCTGCCCTATCTTGGGGGTTATGCCGCCCCTCCTGCCCCCGCCCCTGCTGTCACCGATACAAGCTCACTCGCGTTCGGATCGCCGGGAACAGTGGCTGCTGCAGCTTCTGCTTATGGGGCATACGGGCAGGTATGGAATGTGCTGGGGCAAGGCAAGGAGTATCAAATGGTGGAGTGGAGGAGAGGAAGGTGGGAAGGAATGGGCGTGAGGGTTAAGGGTGTGATAAACAGATTCAAGAACACTTGCAGTAGGATCACCTGTAACAGTGGCTGCTGCAGCATCTGCTTATGGGGCATACGGGCAGGTATGGCCTGGGGTGGGGCACGGCGAAGGAGGATGTGGTGGGGGTGTTTGGGGAAAGGGTGGGGGACCAAGACTATTAGAGGATACTAGACCAAGACTTTTAGACCAAGACCAAGCTTTTCCTGTATCGAGGATGAAAGTGGGCTGTTGTGCTGCATCCGCAGGTGGGGCTTATGGGCAGGGCAGGTGCAGAGAGGTGGGGATGGGTTCCGCACCCTGATACCGTTATCATTTTCCTTGCACACATTACTGCACCCTTCTTTACTCTCTCTCGTCCCCTTTATGACATCTCTCTACACTGTTCTGACCCTGCCCCCCTGCAGCCTCAAATGTCCGCGTTGGGACTGCCGCCCCAAGCCATGGACTTGCCGCCCTACCAGATGGGAGGACCCGCTACAGGACAAGCCATGCCGTCCGCCTATGATCAATTCCTCTCCACCACAGCAGCCGCCCCTCCTCCTTTCCCCGGTGCCCCTGGTGTTGCTGCTAGTCTCGATGCCTCTGGTTTTGGTGCTGCTGCCAATGGTAGCAGTGCAAATTCAGCAGCAGCAGGAGCACCAGCAGCAGCAGCGGCAGCAGCAGCCAAGTCGACCAATCCGTTTGCCTTTGATGATGACGACGAGGAGGACACTACGGCCCCTGCTGCTCCTCCTGGTGCTGCTACGGGTTCTCAGGTGACTTTATCTTATCCTCCTCCCATCTCCTCCACCTTTCTCCTCGGTTCACCCTGATTTCTACCTTCTCATCCCTGCTCCATCCATGCTGCTCTTTCCCATGGCTCCCTTGGGGGAACCCCACATTCGTGTATCATCCCTGCATCATCCTTGCAGCGTTTGTCAGTGACCCCTTTTTATGCCTCTGCCTGGTTCAGTGACCTGCTTTCAGAACCCGGGCCAACATTTTCTCATCACATTGATTGCTGTGATTGTTTGTCCACTGCCATTCACGCATGGTCTCACTGCCTCTTTCCAACCCCTGTGCGCTGCTTCACCTCATTGCCTCGTTTTCCTTTCCCTTCCCCCTCTCCCCACTCGCTCCGCTGTAGCCATTCTCCATGGATCCGATGGCTACTGCTCTCCCTGGCGGTTATTTTGCCCCTCCTGGCACCGCTGCTGCCCCTTTCCAGTCCCCTCAGCAGCAGAATCCTGCAGGTGAGACTTGTCTGTGCTGTCCCGAGTTTTTTGTTTGTTTGTTTGTTTGTTTGTTGGTTTTTTTTGTTTGCCTGAAGCTGCGCACAGCTTTTGACTAGGTGTAACCCTCCAGGTGCCCGTCCCACCAGCAGCCATGCCATGCAGCTCGGTGGCATACTGTCTTATTGTTTTCCGGTTTCAATTTTCTCTGGCCCCCCCCTCCCATTCCCCACCCTGCCTCCGCTCTTTCCGTTCCACCATCGCCCTGCATGTGCCCCCTTTCCAGCCACCCCATTCGCACATGGACCAGATCTCACCCCACAACCCTCCGCCTTCTCGCCCTCCACTCCTCCGCAACCCTCCGATCCGTTCGGTGCACCTCACCCCGTCCAAACCACCTCACCTGGTCTGGCCGGACCTGCCGGTGGGTTCGGAGGTGCCACGCCTGGAGGGGGCGTGAGTGTGTCTGCTGATCTCTTTGGGGCCGGGTTCGGTTGGGGGGGAGCGGGAGGTGGGGGAGGGGGAGGAGGAGCAGTGGGAGGGGCAGGTGGGGTAGGGCATAACCAAATGCATTCTGCTGCGATGGGTGGTGGTGGTGGGATGTCTGCGTCGATTGATTTCGGTTTCCTTGGAGGTGGTGGTGGTGGTGCAGCCTCTGGGCTTGCCCCCGGTGCTGCGGGGGGTGGTGGGAACTTCGGATTAGCGCCTGCTACTGCAGGAGCAGCACCAGCAGGAGGGTCCTCTATGGATCCCTTTGCATCCCTAATGCCGACCGGAGCATCAGCTGCTAGTGCTCATCCACCTGCTTCTGTTGCGGGTGCACCTGCGGCTGCTCCTGCATCCTCTTTTGATGGTTTCTCGTGGTAGACATTGCACCTGCTATGTATTCTGGGTAGGAATTAGATATCATGACCCTAATGAGTCTGGTTAGCATAGTTACCCTGCTTGCCGTTCGCAACTGTGGTACAGTAGTTTAAATCTTGGGCTTGTATGTAGGCAGTTAGTGTTTGCGTGTACTCTTCCTTCAGTGTATGAGACATTGCTTACAATGACAGTGACACACCCTTGCCAGCCTGGGAAAGGGCGAAATTTCGCCAGAACTGTCATGTGTGCTGGTAGCTTCTCGCGATGCTATTGGTCAAATCCACGCTGGTGTTGACCTGCTGGCCCTTGCAGCTCCTTTATTGGTTGGGTGGTTAGCCGAGACATCGGTAACTTCGCGAGCAGTTTCTACTTTGAGCCATCGCTGCTGGCAAGGGCTTTCGCAAACATTTGCGAAGTCAAGCGAACTACGCGAGCACGTCAGCACACCATCCCAACCACACGCTTCCCCCGCTAACCGACCTGCCACCATGCTGGAACCAATCCATAAGCGTTGTGATTTTCCTTGCTGGACATTTCCCATCATCGCGTCGCCATTTCCAGGAAAACGAGCCGCCCTAATCGATCGTGGAAGCAAACCTGCCTTCCCTCTCCTCCTCCTCACTCTCATGTCGCACTACACCATACCACAACATATCAAACCACAGCAAACCATACCAAATCCCTCTCTCTCCCCTCTCCAGACACCTACCATTTCATTCCAACAACCCTCCCGCTGCTCCCTCTTCACCTCGTTCTTTGTTGGGCTCTGCCTTCAGAATGGCTCCAAGCAAGCATAAGAGGTAGTTTCGATTGCCATTTCTCCTCGATCTTCCCCACTCATCAAACTCCATTTCAGAGCTTTCCGCTAAGCCGGGCTTCCTACACTGGTCTCCAACGCCGTTACTACTCATCTAATCGCAATCGCTCACGCAGATCCCATCACGCTCAGCCGCCTCGCCATCGGCCTTACTCAGAGGAAGCCATTTCCATAGTTCGATCACGCGACGTCGTCGGCGACATCTGAACGAGTCCTGCTCGCTCGACGAACTGAAAACTTCAAGAAACTTCGTCACAGAGTCAGGAACCGAGTTCGGTCGGTACAAGTGCACCCCGCCGTCAAAGCCGCATCGAAAGCTCAGAAATCGAAAAACGTCGAGATTTTCCATGGCAGACGAGGCAAAGGCCGCTCCGTCGAGTTCTTTCTCGATCGCTGAGGCGCGCAAGTGGGTGGTGGAGAACAAGCTACGTACAGTCGGAGGACTGTGGGCCAGCGGCATCGCCGGGTCGGTGCTGTACAACATGCGGAAACCGGGGGAGAGAATGAGCGTCAAGATCATCCACGCGAGGTGAGCATCCAATCTCAGCGTGCATTTTTTGTTTTGACTCAAAGCGGCACGCCGGGTAGGTGCTGTACAAGATGCGGAACCCTGGCGAGAAGATGGGCGTCAAAGTCATTCACGCGAGGAGGGCAAGGACCTCAGTGGGGCGGCATTGGTTGTCGACCGTCAAGTCTACAGGAGTCGGGTTTGCGAGCTGCAACGGTTTAGGGTGCATCACAGGATCCGGTGCGCTCTGTCGTGTGCGGTTGCTGTGAACGTTTGAGCAAGAGACTGTTAAACCTTCTGGAGACACTGGAGCGGTTGTAAACGTGACGGCTGAGTCGTCTTACTCAATCAAGTCCTCCGCGCCCTGATTTCCCTGTTCGTCGCAGGTTGCACGCACAGGCTTTCACGTTGGCTGCGCTGATCGCTGCTGCTGGCGTGGAGTACTGGGAGCAATCGTCCAACCCTTCCACGAAAGAGGCGCGGCACCCGTTGTAGCATCAAAACCGGCTAATCATTTTCGAGCTATGCAGGATGGTGCATTTTCGAGCGATGCAGGATGGTGCATTTTCGAGCTATGCAGGATGGTGCATTTTCGAGCTATGCAGGATGGTGCATTTAGAAAGCAACTGCTCACCGTGCAGAACTATGGTGCCGACAGAGGGAGCTGGTACACTCAAGCTGAGCGTCCTTGCTCCCATGGGTCAGGGCCTATTGTATGTGTTCACGCCATGGGCGTGTTTGCTACATCCGCCCGTTACAGTAGCATTATAGCAGGGAGCGGGTGCTTGCTGCTAATTGTCTTGAAAGTGCCCTCAACACCATCAGTCTTATTGGGTGCCTGATTTTATGTAATACCAGTGCTTTCTACTCTCCTGCTAGTCTCGGTCGGGAGAGCTTGGTAGTCTGTACACATCTATGCAGTTGAATGGTGGTGATTGCCCTTTGTTATGAATTGGGAGCACCAGATGGGGCTGTGGACGTGACAGTGTGTGCACTTCATATAAAATACTTTTGCAGCTTGCAATGTTATGGTGTGGATTCAACATCATGTTATGTAAAGAAGCTGAAAGTAATCGTGGAGCTCGCTATCTGGTTACTGGTAGTTTTAGGAGTTCGCTGCGACATACAGCCCCAGCCCTTGCTCCATTGAAGTCACTGTACGTTCTCTCCATCAGCCATGATGCCTGCCTGACAATTATTTCTAATTTATCAATCAGACCCTGAAAGTGGATGTGATTTGTCAATCCCCCAAACGGGATGATTTCTCAAAGCTCAGAGCTGAATACAAGCAAGAACACGATATATAAATAAAGTCCGTAACATGAGGAGCTCCATATAACTTTGTGTTTAGTCGAACTGTATCGACAGCACAGCACTAGTGAGTACACGACCAATCAATCACCTTCTACCTGTTGCCAGAAGTAACAGGCGCGTTTTCTGTTCTTTGATTGGGCAACTGACGTTTAGGTGCGTGGCGCAATTGGTTTGTTGAAGTGTAAGCGTGGAAAAGCAACCAATGAAACAACATCTGTCGAACCTACAGCCATATCATGACGAATTGTGTTGAAGCGGCCGCAAAAAGCTGGGCCACGATCGTTGCTTATTGGCTGGGTTAAACCCCAGCTGGGCGGTCTGAAAGTTCCCGAGCCAGCAGCATCCGCTATGCCCCAAAGTTGCACGCAGGACAATTTGGTGGTTCACCCGGCGAAGATTGTGGTTTGGGATAGTGCATAGTTAAGATTTCGTCTTTTTTTAGGGCGGGCTCGAGCCTGTGAACAACCTCAGCAAAATGAACAATATGAACGAACTTCTGGTATTCGGCAGCAATGTGAAAGAGATCTCCTGTTGAATATTTGCTTGTGAAACCTGTTTAGAGTATTTCCACAGGGAAATTGTCTGACAGGGAAACCTCCACACACATTCACCCCTACACACACGACTTCCAACTTTTCCCCGCCTGCATCCACCTTACCGAACCTTTAGGGCGTGGAATCCCGCCGCAAGTTACGGAGCGCGTGCAAGGGCCTGCCTTTCCCGTTCTGCTCCTCTTCACACACGGACAATAACCTTTTTGTTATCTTTCGCGGATGATTAGCAAAACCCCTGTTGCGCTCTTTCCACATGGTCCCTCAATCCCGCCGGCCCATGTGATCCTCCTTTCTAACGGCGACAGCACAGCAGAACTGCTGCCGCAATATGTGGCGCGTGCTTTCTCCAATGATCGCTCACGTGGCGCACAAGCACAGATAAAAAGGCGTGCACCTCATTCGCTGCTCCAGCATTTAATTTACACCACGTGAACCTCCCAGGCCACTTGCGCCACTAGATCTCCGAAAAAGCTTGGGCCCACGAGAAACTGACGCCTCTAGGAGAAATGGCAGCACCCGAATCGCGTTGCTTGTGATTCGGCTTTCTCTGGAAATAGCGGCGCCGAGAAGCTGCAGCAATACGGAAGCCACGTGGCAGCGTACTTACCACGACCAGGAAGAGCTCAGCCAAGATAAGATGCTTCTCCCGATCTTTCCCGTCGACTACCCCCCCACTGAACGTAAATATGCTCCATATTCACTCCCTCCGTACTTAATACGTAATCTCAATCCTTAGCCTGTCCAAAATCCGCGGAGATCTCGATATCTTTGCTCCATTCACACAAGCATTCGAGGACACGCGGCGCCCACAGCCTAGCACCCTCGCTTTAGCCTGAGCGTGCACCAGCGAGAATAAGGAGTCTCACTTCAGCACTGGCCGTCGCCATTTCGATTGTTGCGATTTTGCTAGCATCTAAGACCCTGCATTGTGAATCGCTTCTACATACTCCAAGTCCGAGTCGCCGTAGCGCCTGTCGCTTAGTACGGAGCTATACTAAGCCTGCCGCATTCGGAGTCCTCAGAACTGCGCCTTACCGTTGGCGAATCCACCAGCTACCATCATCTTCGTCCGCACCTTGCGATCGTCTCTAAACACGAACAAGCGAGACACATTTCCTTTCCAGACGACTAGTGCTAGTCCGTGATGGCTACTGCGCGAGTGGATGGCCCTTCTTCGCCCGCGCCGGCTTACGTGGCCGCAGATGCTTCCGCCCGTGGCGATTCTGACGTCACTATCCATCTGATCACGCCCCGCCGTCAGCGCCGCGTTCGTCGTTCAACGACGAGTGTACCTCTGCGGCCACCGTCGGTTCTACCCATACCGACCTCGGCTTCTGTCGACAACGTTCTTCCGCGAAGCGCCGCGTCTCGCACTGCGCGGCGCCGAGCTGCTGCTACAAACGGCGAGACGTCAACAGCTTCCATTGTTATTAATGCCCGGCGAATGGCTCAAGACGGGGAGCCTTTGCCTCCACTTTCCAGCGCCCCTTTGAGGGAACGCGGTGCCTCGTCTCCCGGACAGCGTCGAAATTCCACCTCAACGGAGATTCTCGCCATTGCTGAACAACTGTTCGGGCAGCAGCGTCATGCGAATTCGTCTGATGGAGATTTTCAGCGAAATGCTACTACCTACGCAAGACCTGCTGGGAGCACGACGGAGGGATTGCGCGATCTGGAAGTGCTTGAGCGGCGTGTGCTAAGTACATCAGGTATGCGTGTACGAAGAGGAGGGCTTTCGGAAAGAAGAGCCGAATTACTCATAAATCCTGCGGCGGAATCGCAGGAATGGCGCAGTGAAGCGGAGGGGTTT